CTAAGATTGTAAAATACAAAATAAAAACTACATGCAAGAATTAAAGCTCAGATGACATTATCTGTGACCTAAACCGAATTAACTAATGATCTTAAAAATTCAAATAACAATAATTACTATCATGATAGTACTAATATTCAAGATAAATTATTATTAAATGATAAATTTAAAATTGTGTAAGCTCTTGTTGAACTTTTGTGTCTATTAGACAAAGCTACAGAAATACTTTCTGGATCAAATTATATTACATTAAGTATTATAGTAATAGCAATAGAAGAATTGATCTATCGACTAAATAATACAACTAGTGAATTAGGTATTATTAACAATGTAAAAAATACCATTCTATCAAATTTAACAAGTTGATGGTCATCACCACATGAATATAGAATGTATACATCTTTACTTAATCCTATATTTAAGGATTTATCTTTTTGTACTGATATAAGTATTGTAATATATTTATTAAATAATAAGTATATATTTTAAAATACTGTATAAGATATCCAAGTATCTTACAATCCACATGATCAAATTTAATTTGTACTTCCCAGATACCTTATATAGAGAAGAGCATATTATACTGTATAGGTTTTTGTAAAGAGCATACATTAGCCTATTAGTAAAAAAAAATTTTATTATTAAATTTACTATTAATTTATACCTGGGTCTTTTACAAAACACCACACAATGAATAACTTTTGAAATATACCTGGTACAAATCAAGAAGATATTATATTCAGCATTTTACAGTATAATATTTATTAACATATTGTTGGATATGATGTTTAAATTTTGGCAGTTTAAAATATAAACTACAAAAATATATCTATTAACAATTTTATCTCTAAATCTTAATCTAATTCTAAAAAAACTGTCTTTTTTTTAAAAAAAAAAAACTTTAAAAATTTTAGCATCTTTCTAACATATGGGTTAGTTTGTAATATTATAAAACTTCAAGAATAATTTTTTTAATTCAAAATTAATGTTTGATTATTCCAATATAATACAGTAAAACCTCTATAAGTGCACCCTTAATGAGTATACATTTTCTTTAAATGCATGCTCAAATTTAGGTCTAGCTATAGATAACTTCTATAAATACATTTTTTCTTATTGTTCTCTAAGTATATATTGTTAAAGTTTGGTCTCAAGCATATACACTTATAGAGAGGTTTTACTGTATTAGCATTTAAGATAATATTAAAATAAGTAAAACATCTTATTCAAAAGAATACTTTAATAAATGATCAAGATTTGGTCAAAAGTTCTGAAGTCTTATAACAATACAGACTAATCTATATATTATCATTTGCTACTGCTTACAATATTCCTCTAAAATAATGTCTGCTCTTATGATTAAGATCCAGGTATTGCTTACATCTTATCAAATATAGTACTCAGTTCTTCACACAATATCTACAAGTACTATTTAATTTTAAAAATAGATTTTTAAATAAGGTCCTGGGTACTATAAGCAGTGGCAAATGGTACTGTAAAATCTAAATACAGATATTCCATAGTATATATTTTTTACCAGTTTTAGGAGCTAAACAGTAATTTGTATCTAGGTACAAAAGCATTATATAAGCTATACAATATATATCATACTAGGTATCTAAGTACAAAAATAAGTAATAAAAATACTTGAGTACCTGCATTCAGATGTTACAGTATATGCATTTAATGTTTCTAAAAAATCATCTAATCAAATATGACTACTTTTTTTGTTAGATACTAAAGCAAAGAACAATTGCTGAGTTATGATGTCAGTTTAATGAATTAAATAAACATACAAATCAGATAGAAAATGAAGATACTGGACAACAAAAAGATTCACAAATTGTAAAAAAGAAAGACTCAGCAATAAAAAGTTTTTTTTCTTCAAATAGACAGCAGAATAAATCTAATAAACAAACCAAATTTGACAAATATCTTCTACTTCCTAGAATAGATCAAACAAAAAAAAATGATCCATTATATTGGTGGAAGCAACAAAAATCCAATTTTTCAATTCTTTGCATACTTGCAAAAAAGTACCTTGCAATTTTCATTTCTTCAGTTTTTTCAGAACACTTATTTTCAGATGCAGGTAATCATGTAATTCCCAAAAGAAATTGATTAGACCCTTATCTTCTGCACCAATTTTTGTTTTTAAAACAGAATTTGGATTATGTAGACATCTTCCTCTCTATTAAATAAGTAGGTTTTATTAAAATATTAAAATAAAAATTTAGTCTTATCTGACAATTTTATTTACAACTTCTTTTATTAATTTTACTGTTATTTTTTATTTTACTATAATGGTTTATAAGCATGAAAATAGATCACAAATTAGATATTACATCTATTACAAATCTTGAAGATCAATATATCTATATTTTTAAATATATGTTTAAATAAAACAACTTTTGAAATTGTAAATTTTATGAATATTATTTTAATTAGATGGCCATAAATTATAATCATTCTAAAATTAAGAACATTTTAATATTTAAAGAACAATCTTATTATATTTATATTTTTTTAAAAAAAAACAAATTTATTATATTTTATAAATTTATTAAACTTAGTTATTAAATTTGATTTTATATAGTTATCAACTTAAAATTGTTAGATTCGACAAATATAGATCTTAAATTTCAGCAAAGTAACAGAATATTAGAAATATTAAATATTGATATGTACCTACTAATCTGTTGAATAAATAATTTTTTATTATAAGAATTACCTTATTTATATAACTCTTAAATTCAAATATAAGTATGTAACCTTTATGCTTACTAATTAAGCAAATAGCCTGATGTATAATGATAGTTATACTAAGGTTATTATTATGAGGATTTTTACATACTAAACTAAGCCCAAGAACATATTATAGAATTATTGTTGTTATTTAAGTTAGAAAAAAAACAAGAAAGAAAAAGATATGATATATAATGGTAAGATTGAAGCCTTTTTTTTTTACTGCCTGACTTTGTCTGGCTCTTTTATAGTGTTTTCACCTACTCCACCCAAGGATGAAAAAAGAAGAAAAAGAGTAGGCTTGCTTACTGATTTGTAGATAGTCTTGCTCAGTGACTTGCTTCATGATGTTAGATGATAAAAATAAAAAAAGAAGATTAAGAATTAAGATGCTCAGAAACTTGCTTGCTAACTTGTGCATAATCTTGCTTAGCAACTTGCTTCACAATGCTTATTTGATGTTAAGTGATAAAGACAAATCAAATGAGAAGAGAAAAAGAAAAAATAAAATTGAGAATTGAAATACTTAGTACTTTCTTGCTGACTTGTTTGTTGACTTGTAGATGATCTTGCTCAACAGCTTGCTCCATGATGCTCATCTGATATTAAATAATAAAAGTAATTTAGTATTAATGGCCATTCCTGTGTATAGGCCTTCTATTCTTTTAAGTTACTTGTCATATGACTGAAAGTTATAATAAACATTTTAATATAAGTATTATATAATAGATATTTTAAAATTTGAAAATAACTTTAATTGAATATATCCTGACAATGACTTGATCAAATTTAATAAAAAATTTTTTATTTGAATTCTATAGATTTGTAGAATTCAAATAAAAAAATTTTCATCGAATTTGATCATGTAATTGCTGAGATATCTTCGATTAAAGTTTTGTTAACAATTTTGATACAAGTGTTATGTAATAAACATTTTAAAATTTGAAAAAATAATTTTGATCAAAAGTATCTCAATAATTACTTGATCAAATTTAATAAAATTTTTTTTATTTATATTCTATAGATCTGTAGAATTCAATAAAAAAATTTTTATCAAATTTGATCAAGTAATTACTAAGATATATTTGATCAAAATTTTATTAAAAATTTTGATTTAAAATTTTTTTTTCTAAATTATTTTGAAAATTTAGCAAATTTTAATTAAATATATCTCAACAACTATTTCATTAAATTTAATAAAATTTTTTTTGTTTAAATTATAAAGATTTGTAAAATTTAAATAAAAAAAATTTTATTGAATTTGAATAAATAGTTGTTAAGATATAATTAAAAAAAGATTTAAAAAAATTTAAAATTTTATTATTGTTTTGATGATTTTTTTGTGATTTGATTGGTCAATTATAGGGATCACCATGGTGATGAGTTACTATAAACTAATGCCCTTAATATAGCAACTAATATTATTCAATTACTGGAGTGGGAGCCAGACATCATCTAAAATTAATAAAGTAAGACTTAAAGGTCTTTTACTTTACTCTTCTTTATTTCAGCTTAATAAATAGGTTATAAAGATAAATAAATTTATGCTATTATTTAATTGAAGGATATTAAGTCTATCCTCTTTATACAAAATTAAAATATACATTAGCAACATTGTCCAAACTAGTTCTGTTATAAATACTAAATATATTTGATTGATTATTCCAAAGGTTTTTAATCTTAGATACACTTATATTATATTTATATAAGTATTTTAAAAGATTGCTATTAATGCAAAAGGCTTTGATAGTAATGGCAAAAGAGTCAATGCATATAGCTTATTAATTAAACTAGGTGTAAAGCTCTTGATTTTCATAGACTTGGTTAACACTATATCTTGATAAGCATTTTGGATAACTATATACTTTTATTTTGAGCTTTGGTTTTGAAGTATTTATTATTTCAATAATTTTGCATCAAGTTTTTAGATTTAATCTTATAAACCCATTTATAACACTTTTTTAAATATATCTTTTTTGGTTCTATTTCAGTAATCTTTATCAATTATTAGCATTTAAAGCATATAGCTATTTGACTTTTATGAACTTTAAATCTTTAATAGCTAATATATTTAACTCTTAGTCTATGATTTTCAAGATAAGTTCTAATGCTTTCTTCTCTAAAAAAAGCAAAAAAACAATATATGTGATAAATGCTAAGCCTTTTTCTAGAATATAACTCTTGCAAGTCATCTTTTATATGAATAGCCCACTGTTGAGGTGTTTTACAGAGACTAATAATAGCCAAATTATAGTATTTTTTTCTATTTTATATATATTTTTAACACTATTATAGTTATAACTGCCACATTTTATATTAATATTTTTTGATATATTCCAAATTATATTCTGAACAAATATTAATAAGTTTGGGTACTAATTTATTAAAAATCTTATCTATAATAATTTTAGAAGTTTGACTAGATATATTTATTAACAATTTATTGTTTTAGTGTTTTAATAATTTATAGCATTTTTAGTAATTTATAGCAATTCTTTATTAACCTATATTAAGAAATATTGTGATTCAAATTTGTACATAGCTAAAAACAAAAAAAATGTAAATAATTATTAATATACACTTTATAGATTTTTATTTTACTTAAAACTAGTAATATTGTAAGAAGGCAGTATTGTGAGCATTAGGAAAATAATAAACAACTAATGTATAATATTTTTAAATTACATATAGAATATGACAATATCATATATTATAAGACACAGAAAGTAACCATTATTTTTCTAAAATTTAGTCCCAACTAACACATATTCTGTGCAAATGCTCTCAAATATAGTTAAATCAAAAACAATAAATTATTGTTCATATAAATATCTGTTAATAATTTTAATTATATTATGCCAATTATTGGCATATTGATACATAATCATGACTAGTTTATCTGTAATATATGACCCATTAAACAAACAGATATATGTAAGATTTTTTGTATTATTTTTGGACAGTCAAAGTAACTCTAAGATATATATATCGAACTGATGTTATAATGTTACTTTTTAACAAAATAAAAAATAATTTTTTTTTGTGCTTTTTTCAGATCAACACATACATCTTTAAATATAACTACTGTATTTCTATCAAGAGAAAATGAATCTATTTTAGGGATTTTATTAGGTTTTAAAGCTCAGAAAGTAATATTTTTATAATATGGCTTTGAACTATTTACAATTATTTGATATGCTGATTTAAAATATATATATTTTTATTTCTTTAAGGTTATAGCCAATTAAGACCAAATCATTATACTTAATATAATATATTCTTTCTTTCTTATTATTAAATATTTAATAAAGTTTATCTTCAAGCATAAGATTAAGAATCTTATTAGTTTTTTTGAATTAGTACAACCTAAAATTAGAAGAATAAAAGGCCATTGAGATATACTAGAATGATTATTATATTTTTGAGCATTTTTAATCTTATTAATGTGATATATGAGCCTATTAACTAGCTCAAGCCTTTTTATTTCCATATCAAATTAATTATTAATAATAATATACTAAAAAATAATTTTTTTAATTCTTTACTTTATCTAAAAATTCTTTTTTGATTAGTATATATTTAATATAAGAAAAAAGATTACATGTATAAGGCACTTTGATATATCTTACTTCTTTTGATTATGTATATTTGTGATTTTAGATTTTCATTACTTAGTAATAGAAACTATTATAATAATAATATTAAGAATTTTGAAATTCAAATACAAAACACAATTTCTTATTATATTTATTCAAGTGTAGCTTATCTAAGAACTTAGCTTTACATAACAGAAATTTCTTGCTTAACAAATTTTTAAAAATATATCAGCATTTACATTCTTAAGTATAATGGCATAAAGGTTATCAATCAAATTTTTTTATGATATATTTTAGTAGATATTCTTACTAATACATTATTTTTACAAGACCAAATATATATATTATAACTATTTATTTATTCAGTTCTTTCTAAACATTGGCCACTATATCTTCTGGCATAATTAATAACTTAATCTATTTTTTTATTAGTAATATAAGCAACATATATAGATAATATGCTTTGGAATGAATATCTAACTTTTTTTGGATCAGCTATTAACATGAGTTCTTCTTGTACAAACCCATGTGATGGAGCATATTTATCATTAAGATAATATAAAACTGGCTCATTCTTTATAATAACAACTTTTGGATTTTATAAAGACTTAGACTAAATCTAGAATCAGTTGTATGCTTTTGGATTTCCATTTTATTCATTCATTCTGCATTGGCAAAAAGACAATAGATGGTATTTTTTTTTTTAGTCTTATTTTATCTTTTTCAACTGAATACTTATATTTTGTAGATAGTCTAGATTCTACTTGTTCCAATGCAATAGCTTTCACTAGTTTGAGTCTTCACTTTTTTGATTCTGGATCTTAAATAAGATGTGTGAGATAATTATTTAGATAATTAATAACTATTGGTATATATCTAACCTATATTCTTATTAATTTCAGATTAGAAGATATTGATTCAACAGCATACTTAATCTTATATAGAATTTTTAAAAGTGTCTGATTGAAATGCTCTACAAATACAACTTTTTTGTATCTATATGAGTAACCACTTAAATTGTAACATCATGCTCTTGCATAAGTTGAGAGGTTTCATTCATAAATTTATAATATCTGTCATATTGTAAAAGCTTTGGTTATGTTAATAGATTATTTCAATTACTGTATACTTTTTTAAAAGCTTTAGCAACCTCAGAACTTTTCTTTGATCTAAGAAAAACTAAAGCCTTATGTAGAAGGCACAGTCTATAATATTAAGTACTGCTTTATATTTTTTATCTTTATAGTAGTCATGAATGAGAAACAGTATATCACATTAATGAATGCAATTAGAGTATGTTATTTATTTGTAGCTAATTTTAAAAATGTATTTTGGAGAAGTTTTATTAGTTTGGTATGACTTTTAATTTTCTAAAAAATCTTTGCATTTATTTAGATGAAATAGATATTCTTCTTTTTTATATACATCACTCAAAGATTTAGAATTGAAATAATATCTAGTTGGATGATAATATATATTATACAGTATGAGATTTTTTATGATTTTCTGAGCCTTATCTGAATTGATATAAATAAACTGCTTCTTTATTACTTTATTTAATTATAGTAAATAAAAATATAGAGAAGTTACAACAGAGTAATCAAGAACTCCATTAGGTAGTATTCTAATTAGCAAAATCAAATAGAAATTTTAAACAATGATTATAAATCTTAAAAAGAGTTATTGGTATATGAGAAGAAAGAATTCAATTTCTTAAAAAAAAGTTAAATAATACTATTAAGCTTTCTAGACAAGACAAAAAAGAATTAACAAAAAAAATTTTAAAATTAAAACAAATTGTTCAACAGCTTGAAGAGGAAAATAAAAAGAAAAACAAAGAAATTTCGAATAAAGATAGATTAATATCAGAATTTGATGAGTGTAAGACAAAATTAAAAAACTAAATATAGCAGATATCAAAATTTGCAAACAATACTTCCAAAGCATAAGATTATATAACCAAATTAGTAAACAAGAATAAATAGCTTAAATGAGAAATAAATATAATAAGAACTAATCAAATAAATAAAATTACCAAAATAACTTGCAAAAATATCATATATATATATATTTTTATAGTTAAACTAGTTTTTTGGGAACTAGAGCTTTTTTATTTAGTATAGTAAGACATAATAGCTTATGGTCTGATTATCTCAAAGAAGCTATCTTACATTAGAGAGTACATCTAGCCATATATACACTTTTGTTGTTTAATTTAAGTAGTCTGTCTATATATAGGTTATATACTAGCTGCCATACTTGCAACTCAACTATAAGTATTGCTTATTTAAACTCTCTGTACTTCAATTCTTACTGTATTACTAGAACATCTCTATTACATGATGTCAGTTGAGAAGTTCTAGATATATACCCATACTCTTAGAACTCCTGTTTTATTTTATGCAAATTATTCTTAAGACATTATTACTAGAGCCTTTTGTATTCTAATTTATAGCTAAACCTAGTTTATAATTCTTGCGAAGTTCATACAATCCCAGTACCTTTCTTTTACAACTTTACTAATATCTCATCTACCCTTGCAAGTCCTTCTATACTACCAATCCAGTTAGTTCTGCATGATACAACTTCATGTCCAAATTAATCAGTAGCCAGGTTGGTGGACCTTCTACCTAAAGGTTCTTGCCTATACAGATTACCTGTCTCAGGTTTTCTTTTTTAGATCAAGATCTTTACAGATAGCACTGTTAAAAGTTGTACTATCTCTCTGCTTAGGATTCCAAGCAGGCTTCTAATCTAAGTATATACTTTTCAGATTTATTTGTGTAACATTGCATACTTCCAAAGTTAGTCTTGATATAACCAGAATTACAGGATCTACAAATCTCAGATTACAAATAAGTTTGCCAGAATAGGACCATTTTTTTAAAAATTTGTTACTGATAAAAATTAAACATTGGACTTATTGCTTAGAAAATGACAACTCAACCACTATACTAGGATTACCATCTTCTTAAAAAAATTATATTACAGATCTGCTTTGTTAAAATTTATTATTATTTTTATTAAGATATAAAAATAGATTAGAGCTTATAATACCAAAAAGGCTTTGCAAAATGCAGAAGCACAGAACATTAATAAAAATAAATTTGACCCTGATGAGAATTCTTTAGATATTTATAATTTTAATTAAAATTTAAATATAGGTACAATAGCTAAATTGGCCAATACTAATACAACAATATATAGAACTATTTTAACAAATCAAATTAAAAGATCAACAAGATTAATTTAATATAAATATGCTAATCTGCAACAAGATTTGGTAAATGAATAATAAAACTGTAATATATATAGGCAAAAGTGAGATTAGGCAGTTTAAAAGCATAATTAGTTACAGACTAATGCTCAAAATTAAGTAAAGTAAATGTTAAATAATATAGAAAGAAAACAAAATAGCATCAGTGAATTATTATAAAAAAAATTTGGTTTACAAATCTTATATTAATGAAATGTTTACTACTTACAGCAATGTAAAGAAGATAGAGGTTTGCTAGAATATAATCAGGATAGGCTCTATGAGTAATATAAGAAGTGAAAAAATAAAACTTATACAAAGTGCCAGAATATTTTAATTTTAAATTAACAAATTTTTGCACTTCAAAATAATCAACTTATAAATAACAATAAAAGAAGTATGACAAGATATACACCTTCAACTTATCACAGATATCCTAATAAAGATTTAGAGAAATTTATTAATTCTTTTTGTTCATATCTTATGGCTGCTAGAATTGATGTAACTAGTAGGCATGCCAATAAAGTTTGTGCATATAGACTTTTTAAAACATGCCTTAAAGGCAATGCCAAAAATTGGTATAAAAGAACTATTTTAAGAAAAAATTAAGAATTAAGAAATTTACTAGATAATACTGAACAGAACACTTTGTCTCTAGTTTAAGAATAAACAGCAGTACAACTTGGTGCAAATATAAGATATAGTGCTATGAGTCAAGCTAGAAATATTATTATCCTAGCTCATACAATATTTAATAAAGACTAGTCTTTTGCTAATAATTGTCTAACTGATTGTATAATAAATCTACCAAATGCCAATGCTAATCAATCTGTAGTAGCAAATAAGATTTGACTTGGTCAAATAATATACTGGCTTAAGACTAACTATCTAACTGTTATTGCAGAAAAACAATAAATAATCTTTAGATTAGCAGTTTAGAGTAGTAATTCTGTTAGTTATTTCTATTCAAAGCTATATAAACTTGTTAGACTTGCTAGTATTGATAAACAACAAATTTGATTACAATTTCTTTATAATATCTTTTTCAATAATTAATTAGAAATTCAATATATTGGAATTAATAAGCCTGTATCTGAATTGTTTACAAAACTCAAAAAAATTAAAAAATATAAAGCCAAGCAATTATCTGAAGCCTATTTGCATTCAAATTCAGATTTGGTATTAACAAAAAAACTCTATAATGTAGATACTAACAAATTGGTAATTATTAAAACCAAAATCAAAGAGTTGGTAAGAAATATAATAACATCTACTTAATCTGCACTAGGTAACAAATTGAAATGACTTAGTTAAATAGAACCAAGTAAAACATATAAAGATCCAAATTTGTAATTGAATGATTAAAAATAGTTGTAAGACTTTGATATTTTAAAGCATTTTAATAATACAGCTGGCCTATCTACTATAAAACACTAATAGATACAGTTACTAAAAGAGTAGTTAATAAAATCTTTTCTTTTTTGCTCTATAAGAGTAGTTCAAAGAATAATAATTTTAATAAAGAACTTGCTAGATTTACAAAAAAACAGTTAAACTTACAGGCAGCCAAAGCTGTTAAAAAGATTATAAAGACACAACAGTAATGTTCCAATTGTAATAGATCTAAACACAATTCTCAAAACTAACCTTGAAAAAAGAAAAAGAAAAACAAGAAGTCTAAAAAGAGCAAGCTTAAGCTTGTTATTATGGATTCAGATTCAGATTCAGGTACTTCCTCTAATGCTTCTTCTAGTAATAGTTCTGACTCTGATACAAGTTTAGAAGATTCTTCTGATTCTAGAGGTAATATGACTGTTAATATTACTAAGTTAAAAAAAAAGTAAAGCAGGACTCTAGCTCCAAAAAATTATTTTTTAAGAAGATATCTAAAACTTCATTAGAGGAAACTATTTATAAAATTCTCTAAAATGAACTTAAACTAAATTTCTTCCAAATGCTAATTCTGATTCTAATAAAGCTAATACATCAAAACAAATACCTTTTATACAAAAGAAAATAGAGCCTTAAAGTAAAGATTTACTTATTTCTAAAGACTTACTACTAGATACAGAAGAGAAAGAGTACTTAGATAGTTTTATAGAAATTAATTTTGTTAAGAAGAAGGAGCCACCTACAAGTATTGCAACTGTGAAGTATAAAATTAAGCCTTTAAATATCTCTGCTATAAAACTTGATTCTAAAGCAAAGTCTTCTATAGTAACTGAAAATATTGTTGATCATATAAAGGCTAAAATTAATAAGTCTGAAACACATGATTTTAGTAATATTACTACTGTTTTAATTAAATCTATTGGAGTAGTTTATAATTTATCTATTACTCTAGATCTTGGACTTATCATTTATGAAGATTTTGTTGTTATAAGATATAACAAGCCAACTTTAATATTTTCTAACCAGCTTTTAAAGAAATACAATTGCACTGTAAATTGAGATAAAAATGAATTAAAGTTTTCTTATAATAGAAAGGATTATATCATTCTAGTAATTATATATAAAATTAAGAATAAGCTTAAAGTAAATTGCATGAATATTACTTTTAAATATAAAAAGTTTGTATCTTTAGAGTGTATTTCACAAGACTTGCAAAACTTAAGTAAGAATAATGATATATTAAAAAAAAACCTATGAACTATGAGGAGCTTAAAAAAATGTTATATATTATTCTCAAATATAATGCAAAAATTAATAAATATTACAAAAGACTACAGACATGCTATAATAACCTTTTTTAAAATAGGTTAGTTATTTTTAAAGTTATACTTTCATATTTGCTAAATTTTTATTGCTTCTTTCAACTATCTTCTTATACAATATATGAAATTTCTCTTTATTTATATATGAGTTTTTTAAATTTACGAGTTAAAACTAAATAGTAAATAGTATTAATAGAGCTAGCTTATTTTTGGATTTTGATTTTTTTCCTTCAAACTTTTTCACCTTACCTCTTTCTAGAGTTGAAGCAATAGATTTGTTAGGCTCTATCCTTACATTACATATTTTATTTTTTAGTTCTGTAAAAGGAGAAGCATTTTGGTTATGTATATCTAACTTAATCTGTTCTATCTTACTAGTCTGAAAATTCTTAACCAAAACAGACTAAGATGAAATAACATCTTGCTGAAGGCATTCTTTATTATTCTATATTTCATAAACATACTTGGGTCTAATATGGAATTTATTAGTTATTTTTTTTGATATATTGGGTATTCTATTTCTGAATTATCTAATTTTCTTGATATCAGCTTCTGATAACAAGATTGCCTTAGCATCATTAAATGTATCATAAATACAAGCTACCATCTTCACTAGATTTTATTTTATATATTAGAAAAAAAAATAATAATTTTTAATAAATATCAATATGTATCAATATATATATATCAATACTTTTTAATATATATTATATTAGTAACTATTTCTGTTATTATTAACTTTCTAATGTCACTGATGGTATTATGTTCCATACTTGCTTTTTTTTTAAAAAAAAAAAAATTTCCTACTGTATGATTGCTAGTGAGCCACAGCTGACAGCTGTTTTATTAATTCAAAATTTTCAAGTTCACAAAACCTTCTATCAGGACCCTGTCTATATTTTACATTTTACATTTATTTATATATATTTTATAGTACTATTTATTGATTTTGTATTTCTATTATTTTAGAATTTCACTGAAATTATTCCTAATTAGAGATTCCTTTGTTTTATTATTATTTTTAGCCTTTTAATTATCACAGCTTTCTTATGTCAGGTCTGTCACCATTTAAAGATCTGGGTATTAAAGATCTTTCTATTTTTATAGTATATTATCAGATATAATTAATCAATAATCATAGTCTTAACTCAGTTTTTGTTCTCTGTTTAACTTAAACTGGCAATCTTGCAATTAGTAACCTAAAAATGTAACCACTTCACTATTGACTTGCAGGTCTACTTGCTTTTTTACTGATTGTGATTATATAGTTTGTAGTCAGAAAATACTGAAATTTATCAAAAAAAAGTAATATTGACTATTCTCCTAACCAGAACTATTTTTATTCTCTTTAGACATATCTGAGACCAAGCTATATAATCAGAGACCAGAAAAGGTCACCTTGTAACTAGATCAAATATAAAAATTGAAGTTAGCTAGTATTATTATATAAAAAAATATATAAATAATATAATTGTAAGTCTTTTTAGTTAGAATTGTTATGCTTTACTAAGAGAACTTAGAAAGTCTATTGCAAGTTTTTAATATATTTTATAGCTAGTTTTTTGTTTTTTTTCTAAGAAAAACTATCAATCTGCTTTTTTTTTCTTATCTGAATTCTTAATTTGTATTATTTTATCTAATTGGGATGTTTTATTTATTTTTTTTTTAAATATTAAGGTGAGTACTTGCGACTCAGAATTTTATTAGTAGTATATTTGGCTAATGAATGCTTTACAACCACAGGAGGCAACCATAAAAAGAGTATACAACTAGCTACTCATACAACTTTAGTCATTGTCTAATTTAAGTAGTTCACTCAAAGATTCTACACTAGCTGCCATACCTGAAACCTGCTTGTAGGTTCCCTATTTAATCACTCTGTTTCTGTATTTATCTACCTATCTCTGCCTACTAATAACCCCAGCAAATGCCAGTAAAAATATACCATGACTACTAAGTCTTTAAAGCAGTTCACTTATATGATGAACCTTTAACCTTGTACTAAACCTTTCAGAATCTTCTGTATCCTATTCTTACAGCTAACCTGATATTACTATGGCTAAGATCAATATTAGTAGTTGAGATATATCATTAAACCACTATGCCCTTGTAGAGTTTATCCCAACCTTGGTACTAACTTCACAACATATCCTTACTACTTTAATATTCAATTCAAGTTCTACCAAGTTGCCATTCCAGATAGCCTAGAAAGATAGATCAAAACTATACATCTCTGGTTTACATGTTTGCTAGCATATGCCTTTTTTCTCCAGAATCCAGAAATTTCGGTGGCCTGGTTGGTTCATCTGGTCCCTCTTCAAAGACTAGCACATTTGTCTGGTTTCACAAGTTCTAGCTTCATTTCATATGTCTAGTCTTTATAGTAGCACTGTCGAAGGTTTAGATTACCTCTTTACTCAGGTCTTCCAAGTGGGCTTTCATCTTTCTACCTGGTTCCTGTGATTTATATGGCCTAAGAACTTATCTTGGGTTCACACTACCTGGTACTAGTTTGTGTTCTCTTGTACAATATTGTACAAGTGCCTAGACCTTCCAGTTATGCTAGTATAACATAGGTTACAGGTATCTTATCCCAACCAATCATGGAAGACAGTTAGTCATAATACAGAAAGAATTGCAAATTTTTGCTGTTACTGGAATTTGAACTCTAGACCTGCCACTTGAAGGTTAACAACCTATCCATTTTACTAGGTTGCTACACCTCCAATCAGTGTTGGACTATGACCTATTATGATCTATATAATCTATATGACCAGTCATAGGTCATATAGTCATCATAAGAGTTATATGACTATATAACCAAGATTATTTGGTTAGCCAATAAAATAGCTAGATTAGTAGTATATATATTGACTCATTGATGTATTATATCTCAATTAAAGATTAAGTCTGTCTACTTTAGATAACTAATTTGTGTAACAAATTCAAAACTGGATAACAACCTGGTTAACTCAAATAACTCAGGTAATCTGATTAAAATTAGTAATCCTAAAAAAAAAAAAAAAAAAAGGCATTTTATACTATTTTTACCTCTCTCTTTCTTTCTTTTTTTTTCTTTTTCTTTTTTTTTTCCTTTCTTTCGCTCTGTCTTTTTTCTTTCTGCCTTTTCTTCTCTTTCTCTCTTTTTCTCTCTTTTTCTTTTTTTCTTATACTATATTTGTAATGCATCTATTGCATGTATTTAGTTCTTTTTGTTATTATAATTCACAAATAAGCATAATTCCAAAGCTTATATTTTAACAGTCAAGACATGCATCAGTTTTTTTATTAAAATAAGTAATAGTACATCTATATACTAATGATCGAATTGATAAATTACTACAGAATTAAATAAATTCAGCATCAACAGGCATCAAAAATTTATCAATTCATTCATTGGCAATGTTTTCATTGTTCTAGAATTAGTTGTAATGATAGTATAATATATAAAATAAAATTAACTAGCTTTAAAAGAGGCTAAATGAAGTGAGACAGAAAAAAAAATTGCCAAAAGCATAATTTAAATTTTTAAATTTTTAAAAGTTTCCATTTTATATTTTTGAGTTTCAGATTATACAATAGTTTGAGTTTCGAATTATAGTTTGGGTTTTGGGTTTCAAGTTTGATTTTTTGAAAAAATCTGAACTACATTAGCAGAATAAATATGCAAAATATTGTGAAAGATTTTGCATACTAAAAATCTTTTGAAATAATTGCGATTGATGTGAAATTATTTCGAAATAAAATAATTTCACAATATTGCGAAAAAAACAAATAATTTCAAAAGAATTTCGGCTAATTTACAAAATTTTAAAAAATAATAAAACTAAAAAAAATAAAAAAATAATTCAAATAATATTAGAAATATTT